GAAAATTTTTTGGTCGCTACCCGGAATCGAACCCGGGACCTTTGAATGAGAGGCCAACACCTTAACCTCTAGGCCACGAGAGCCCCCCTCACATTGTTTAAGCGCTGCACTTAACAACCAGTCAACATAACACACATTTTGCCGGGAACTGACTGAAAAATAATTACAAAGAAAAGAAGTATGAGAGCAAAACCACACCTCAAACAACCCATACATTATCATTTCACAAAGACAAATCTATTACAGAAAAATGTGAACACATCTCACCCTGCCGGTGGCTGATATTCTGCCGTGAATACCTCCCTGAGGGATAGGCTTGCCGGTCACACACGCACGAGCGTTGATGTCTCCGTGACCTGTGAATATTTCATTCCATGTACGTATGTAAATCACAATTTTTGTACTTCTCTGATCCACAGATTTCATTATTAAAGGAAGAGCTTAGTTTAGTTTTAGTCAGTATTTTACGGCACTTGCAACACAATAAGGTCATAGAAGTGCCGAAGATTAGAGGTGTCACAAGGAGAGAAACTGACACAAAAAAAGGAGGAGAGATAAGGACGAAAGATGTTTGATAGGAAAAAAAAAGCAAACCACACAAGAGCACCCACCAACCACCTAAAGGAAGAGCGTAAGGAGTATTGTTCGTACAGATCAAAGAGTACCACATCAACACCATCACGGACATTTTGTTAGTTAGTTAGTAGTATAGGGTTTTACGGCGCTCGCAACTGCGTACGGTCATATGAGCGCGCGAAACACAAGTTGGTCTTGTTCACAACAGTTCGCTGTACGGCTGGCTCGGGTCAGTAGTTAAATCTTAAAATGTTAAAAAATCAGTGTAAATATACATATATTTTCAATCTAAAACAATTTTTCTAGTTAACATAAAAGTTTGAAATAGTACAGTTTTACTTTACAATTTGCTATAAAGGCCAATGGCCTTAATAAAATTCAAAATTTTGCTGGGACCAACGACGGAAAAAATATCTTGCAATTTTGTGCTGGGAAAAAGATGGACAAAACAGAAACAGGAACAATAAAGGAAAAGAAAAGAAATAAGATGTTTCGGTGGCGTCTTCAACCACCTGTATTCCAAGCAAAGCAGACCAAGAGAGCAAACTGTCTTAACAAGAAAGTTGCTTGAGTCAGTTTCTGTACAAATTGCTACCTCAGAATGACAAAGTTTTCTATAAATATCTCACATTTTTGGCCTTGAGTTAGTAAGACCATGAGGTAAGAAATAAAATGTTCTAACTGCTCCATCAAAATCGTAAGATTGTTCTGAGTCCTTATCAAGATATTCAAAGAACTTCATTTGGAAAAAGCTTGATCATGTGAAACTTTAAAGTTTTTACTTCAAATTTCTCAAAAAGCTAGTATTGAGCAGATAGGAACTTTGTAATTCTAAGGTAGCAAAATGTCTGAGGGAGTCATATGATTATAGTGTGACCAAAGCTCAGATTGGTAAAGAGTCTCATGTGATGTGAGCTTCAGGTGTCTTTCAGAGCAGTAAGGTCAAGTCTCCACAAAGGACAAGCCAAAGGATGGCAAGACTTAAAACCTCAAACCACCAATATTTCACCAATGCCCTGTCGGGAATTCAAACTCCTGGCACTTTTGCGTAACACCAACCGAGTCAACGGCACGTCCTCAGCTGTTTTAGATTAACCCCAAAAAGCAACCTACATTTTCACAAGAAAAAAGTCTTTTTTTAAAAGACTAGTGCACTTGGAGAAGAGAGTAACAAGAAATAGACAGAAGGTATGTCTCCCACACTGTTCTTGTCCACATTATCTGGCAGCTGAGGCTTATCTGAAGTTGCTTGCGTCAAACAATTACCCCCCCTCCCCTTATAAAAAAACAAAGTAAGCGTATTACCCGGTACAGTTTTTCTCAGTTAAATGACAACACAACCTTCTGAAAAAAAAAAAAAATTTTTCCACAATTCTGAATGTGAAATACAGCAGAAGTTCATACATGTAATGTGATGGCACCATAAATCTCATAGAAAGATTTTTTCATTTTTCTTATTTTATTGATTCGCTTGAAATACAAAGTTCCAAATAGTAATGTGAAGACACAAATCTACTGGAATTAAAAAAACATTTTTTTTTTTCAAATCAATTCTGAATTCTGTATGTAAAACACAGAACCTTATCTCTCTGGCCAGCATGCCTCTTCCAGAGAAAGAACTGCTGAATCTGCAAAGACGGACAGTTTAAAATTTATGCATTAAAAAAAACCCCCAGCTGTGAAAATGTCCACTGACTGTGGCTGAAACCCGAGACGTCAAGGGCTGCAGCTGTCACATGACAGGATATTTAAGCCTCGTGTCTTCTGTCAGGTCCACACTGATCCCACTAAGTCAACGGGGAAGTTTAACGGTATGGTACCACTAATTAATTTGCATTTTATTGATGGAAGCACAGCGAAGCCATTGCCACATTATTCAACTATGATGCACTGCGGGCTCCCCACGTGGCTGGAGGGAATGACGACATACCTCTGTGCCAAAGTACACTTGAGTGGAACATTAACAACCACATAGTTTTTCAAGCAATTTCCATAAACTTCATTGGTAAATAATGAATGAGAGGAAATGTTTTACACCCCCATCAACACAATTTAGGTCCTTCAGTAGGCGAGGTGGGTGGTTGGCGGTTGCTCTGGTGTGGTTTGCTCCTTCTTTCCTATCAAACAATAGTGAAATATCTATCGTCCTGATCTCTCCTCTTTCTTTTTAATGTTCGTTACTCTCTTGAAACACCTCTAATCTTCTACACTTATGTGACTTTATTGTGTTGCAAGTGCCGTAAAACTCTTACTAAAACTAAAATTAGGCCAGCTGTTACGAACCTGCCTGTCAGGACCACCCAGCGGCTGATCGGGATACAACATCCCCAGCAAACAGACGGAGATACACGAAGATAAAATAACTTTCCCAAATGAGCACCGAACTCACCACCTTCTGTGTGCATCAGTGAGGAATCTAACCTGCTTTACATTACTATTATTTCTTATGTGTGAAGGCTAATGCTAGAAGCCAAATTTTCCCCCATTTTCACAAGGTTATCCTTTACTTCTCCACGATAAAAAGCATACTGTCTTACAACACGCTGGACAAGAAATTTAAAAACTTCGTTGATGTAAATGTAAAATTAAAAAAGAAATTAGAAATCGATAAAACAATCATAATAGCTGGCCCAACTCCCAGTGCATTTACAAACAAAAAATTTCCCCGTCTCTAACCTTGATTATACGGTCAGTCGTCCAGAGTCTACAAAAATATACAAACAGTTGCTGTAACTAATTTAAGAGAACTTAAAAATTACTCATCGCAGCAAATGATGCAATCCAAACTTTCCTTTCATCATCAAGGACTAAAATATAGCGCATGTGTATACACAAATCATACCTCCCTCCCATGTAAACAAACAAATCTTCCTCCCATGTAAACAAACAAATCTTCCTCCCAGGAAAAAAACAAAACAAACAAAACCCAAAACATGTCTGCTTACCCAGAGAGTTGGCGTAGGTGTCTGCGATCCAGCTCATCTCTCTCTCCCCCGTGCCCATATCTGGTGCTGGCACGTCAATTCCTGGCCCTGTAACAAGACAACGTAAACATAACGTGATGTGAAGTTTTTCAAAAAGGATTAAAGTTAATATCCGTGAAACGTGACAACGTAACCGAAATGTGAGGTGAAAAAAGAAAAGGTTTTAAAGTTAGTTTTAGTAAGAGTTTTACGGCACCTGCAAAAACAATAACGTCGTAAAAGTGTCCAAGAATAGATGCGTTACAAGAGAGTAACAAACACAAAAAAGAAAGAGGAGAGATAAGGACGATAGATGTTTGATAGGAAAGAAGGAGCAAATCACACCAGAGCACCCGCCAACCACCCACAGATTAAAGTTAACATCCCTGAAACACGACAACGTAAAACATCAGGCCTACGTGATGTAAAAAAAAGAAAAAAAAAAGATTAAAATGAATTTTCCTGAAACACGACTACATAAACACAATGTGATGAGAAAAAAGAGAGAAACACCAAAAAAAAAAAAAAATTAAAGTTAATGTCCGTGAAACACGACAACATAAACATAATGTGTTTTTCGAAAAAACAATTTTTTTTAAAGATTAAATTTAATTTAGGTGTCTTGCGCCTCCATTGACACAATTTAGATCATTTAGGAGGCCGACCTCAGCCCTGTCTGTGAGGGCCAACCTGGACTGACAGGGACACAACACCCCAGCAGAGACTCGATACACTCCATAGAGATCCCCCCCCCCCCACCTCCCACTTGGTTCCTCTGCTTGCCACTGTAAAGTGCCAAACTGCTACACTACATACAAACGCTGGTGAAAAAAATGTGATAGCTTTCTTTGAATTTTTTCTAGGACTTTTTATTTCATAGGCAATGTATATCAATAAAATGTTTACCCTAAGTTGGAATCTTTGTGTGACAGCGAAGAGCCTCTCTATTACATCACACACAGTAGTGAATATTTTCACATTAAAATCAAAATGAACAAAATTTGTTTACATGTTATTCTCTTGTGATGCTGTTTTAGCAAGGTTTTACGGCGCTCGCAACTGCATAAGGTCAAATGAGCGCCAAGAGCTGAATGTCAACAGAGAAGTCCAAACGAGGAATCAGGCTTACTCTGTTCACCTTTCTAGCCTCAACAGCACAAAGTCTGCTTCGACTACTCTCTTTAACACCTCTGATCTTCGTCACTTATCTGACATACCTGTGTTGCAAATGCCATAAAACTCTACTTACAAAAACTGAAAGGTGTCAACAAGTATTCCCGAGTACCCCAGCAAGCAAATGTTCCCGACACCACTTTCCCGTGTTATCAGACACAATAAACAGGCTATTTCTGGCCCAGCTATTAATTCATAACCTCTCTCCACACATCAGTCATAACAGGGGAGCTCATTCATGGTATAAAAACCGATACATTTACGTCTATGTTATATATGCATAAACACATACACACAGACTCTATATTATGTTATATATATATGCATAAATACCTACAGAGAGAGAGAGAGAGCGCGGTGGTAGGGGGGAGAGAAAAGGGGGACAGAGGGAGAAAGAGAGGGGGAGAGAGAAAGAGAGAG